AGGTTTCGGATGAGGCATACTTTAAGTCTAGTAGCCTCGTGAATGTCTACTGGTGTATGCGCGTGAAGAACGGAAAATATTTAATGCTTAAATGGGTTTGTACCTCGACAGGGTTGATCACTCATCCCACCAATTCCAAATGCCTAAAAGTATCCTTGAAGCTCTACAAATGCTCCATGATCGCGTACGAGCATTTTATCGAAAGAATAACGGTCAAGCCTTACGGTTGTCTGTCATTAACTGTAAAAGTTACAAAACATGTATTACTAAAATCAAGCAAGTACGTTTATCAAAATAATAATTTTATTTTACAGGTTACTTTCCTAATGTCAGCTGGGCGATTGACCCTTTCGGTCACGGTACCACAGACGCCTATCTCAAGCGCAAGGCCGGCCTAGAACACATTTTGATTCATCGTACACACTACGAGATCAAGGGCCACTTTGGAAAACAACGGACCCTGGAATTTCGTTGGCGCCAACCTTGGGGTGGGTGATCTGCGTTCCTGATCTGCATAACAGTCAGCTTTCATTCCTCTTTTGTTAAGTTCTCGTCTGAGCTGCACACACACCTCTTGTGGTAACCAGTTTGAACCCCCGATTTTCCTCCTATCTTCGTTCCTACACTAGACTCCTCAGGCTCAACGGACGTCTTTTGCCACATGTTACCGTATGCGGGGTACGGTGTGCAAGAGACCTGTGGACCCAGTCCTGGAGTGTGTTGGCAGTTTGATTTCTCCAGGCAGTCTAGGTTTCAGTTTCCATGGAGTCCGCCACGCGACGAAATCGACAGTGACAACGTTGAAACACGGTTCGTGTACAATAAATTCTTACAGCATATCTATCCGAAGGTCCTGTGAATCTCTGTGGCCAGTGCCTTTTTAGCCACTCTGAAAGTGAAGAAAGCAGTTGCTAGTTTAGAAACCTCGAAGCTAAACCAAACTAAAGTTTATATGGTCCAGAGGGGAGTTTTGGAATTTTTTATTTCCTTAATTACTTTTTTGTTATACCACAGGGTACATAAACCACAGGCTTGAACCTTTGATATTAAATAATATATAAGATCTCCTGATAATCCTTATATGGCCTATTCCGATTTTAAAATGAATTCTTAAAAAAAGACTTTCTGAACCCCAAATAAATTCGGTAAATCAAAAGGAAAACACCCAATCCATACCAAAATACCCATTCAACTTATGGCCACAAGACTTCCTGAGTTAGGTCGTCTATTGTATACTAACACTCATTGTCAGCACAAGCGAAAACTGGAGTCCTAGAAAGTGCTCGAGAGGAAGCAGATGCGACTGCTGGGACAAGAACCTCTCTCGCACGTTTCTGCTACTATCTTTCAGTATTGATCCGCGATGGAGTCCGAAACGTCACGCGAGGGAGGTACCCGTTTCAGCAATCGCATCTGCTGCTTTTCAACACTCCCCGCGTCGAGAGAAAGAGAGAGCAAAGTTATCTTCCATAATTGATTTTTTGGTAATACGTCCTTATAAAAAATACCGCAGGTTACTTTTAACAATTAACAACCGGTCACGTACTTTTATTTGTTACTACACTAAAATAAAACTAAAAAAGGGAAAACAAAACATAAATTAATAAATAATCAACTAGCAAAGGAATAACTAATCTAAATAATAAACTAGAACGAAATAAGTAGTTATTAAAGTAGTAGATACGCGTACACCGATCCGACAGAGGACACACGCGCTCGTCCATATTGCCATTAGAGCTCTCACTGAAGCCTCCAACGTGAGGCGGCTAGGATATAGGCAGAAGGAAATTATCGACAAAGACATGAGACACTACAATGGCCATTGCTAGCTTATTTGCCGTCATCAGGTAGTGATACCAACTCTAGTGTTGCTGCTGAATTGCTGCCACACTCGAGTTTAGAACTCGCGTATCTCCGGTCAGAGGTGAACGTCTTAACCATTGAGCTATCGAGCTCGCAGTCTTGTCGGTATTAGATCAGGGATATGCAATATGGACGGACTAGGGCCTCCTCTATTGGATCGGTTTACGCGTATCTACTTCTCTTTATTACCTATCTAATATCGACAAGAATGCGAGCTCGATAGCTCAATGGTTAAGGCGTTCGCCTCTGACCGGAGATACGCGAGTTCTAAACTCGAGTGTGGCAGCAATTTCAGCAGCAACACTAGAGTTGGGTATCACTACCGGATGAAGGAAAATAAGGCAGAAATGGCCACTGTAGTGTCCCATGTCTTTGTCGGTAGTTATTTAGGCATAGTATACTACGAGGTTTTTTATAAGGAGTCCTTAACTCGTTTTTCTTGGTCATCATACTCGAATCACTCGTTTAATCGGCTGTACCAGCATTTGCAGTCAAGGTATATTGCGATCAAAAGTTGTTGTTTAAGTAACTCGGTTGAGCTGGCTAAATCAGTTGGTGTATATATAAACGCTGTGGCGATCAAAGTGTTTTTAAACTGGCCGGGAGAAGGCAAACCTCGGGCTATAATTATGAAGGAGTGGACAGTTTGAAGTAACTCGGCGTTGGACTGTTGCCGAATGGACAGCATGGGGATGACGTTGTCTCCCGAATCGATGCTACACGTCGGGCTTTCATGCCTCTGAGGTTGGATCCGACGCGACTTATCTATTGCCACAGAGATTTGTATCTGCCGTGCATCCGTCCGGCCTGGCCTTCTCTACGATTGTAGATTCTGGGCTGTGCGTATAGACAATAAACGAAAAGCGAAGCTATTTGACTACCTCTACTTGAGTATCGTCCTTAGAATGAAGTGCATAGTCTTCTTCTCAAATAATACGATGCCTGCACTCGTCGCAACAACATCGTTAGGATATCTCAAGACAACTTAGATGAGCGGGACACGTTAATTTTTGTCCACCTCACGAACTCAGTGTTCTCATTCTGGAGTTGTCACCCACTTGGAGGTGTCGACGAGAGGGTCAACCGAAGGCCTGGTTCGATGCAGATCGTCAAGGTATTCTTGTACTCTCGGTATTCGTTGTTCTTATTGGCAAAGGGCATGACTTTAACCGTCCAAATCTGCTGCCATGGATCGTCGCGCCTAGAGAGGTACAGCTCGTGCCATCATTGAGGTCGGCTAGGTGGAAGCTGTATGAAGGCCTAAACGCAGTCCCAATGTCCTTGTCCAAAGCCAAATTCTTCGTCCAAATCTCTTTAATCTAACTTCATCATTCTATTGTCAAAATAGTCTCATCCTAAGCTTCCCAAACAAACCACCAAAAACTCCTGTCCATTAACGCCCAATAGAATGAAGACAACACAACAAGACCTACTCAAATCGTTTCAGTAGCCACGTTTTAATCAGCACAATTCATTACGTCATCGAGTCCAGACCTTACTCCACTCCCACTCATTCTGTAGCTACCGAAAGAGCCTGAAAGAATGAAACTTGCACCTAGCCG